TCTCTGCACTTTTATTTGGTAGAATTATATTTTATAAAGTAGTAAAGTATTAATTTGTCCACGATTCAGATGACAATGAAATGTTAAAACTGAAGTTGTTGTTTTTTGTTTTTTTAAGACAAGTAAATAGCTATCAAGGATCTGTTTAATTAATGCTATTGCCACAGTATGCCAGATAGTTAGATTTAGTCCTAGCAGCTGGACCTTTTCCTTCTGCAGCATTATGCAGTTATAATTGATTGTCATAATAATGACTCTGAGATGCTATAGGGTCCTTTGTAAATCATTAAAGAGAGATCAAATTATATTTTATGACAATTTGAAATTAAGTCAATTTATTATATACAAATTATTTAAAAATTACTTATAGATACAGATACTCTATACAAAGGATCTCAGTTTTCAATAATTAAGTATATATAAACATTGTTGTAAGTGTAATGAATAGAATCTGTTGCCTAGTAGAATATAACATCAGATTAAACATAACTTCCATATATTTTTCTGAAATAAAAATCTTTCAGGACTTAGATATCATAGAACCTAACACTGAACTTTAAACACTCACACACACAGCAGAAGAGTGATTCAACAACAATGCTAGATGGGTTAGGAGAAAGTGCACTTTGATTTTTACAGATGTTTTCTAATAAATGGATTATCTGATAGTTACCAAATAGTCAAATGATTTGGCCTCATTTTTCCTCATTCCCTCCACACTCCAACCCTTCCAAAGGTAAGGAGACCATCTATCTATAAAGAATTTAGACTGCTACAAATTTCAAAATTTGAGAATAGCCTTGAAAATCGGAAAACCCATTTAACCATGAAAGCTTATAGCAGTTCTTTACTGTGCTCAAAATAAAGAGATAAAGGCCCTTATTTTTGGTCTCTAGGTATTCAAATTAGTCATATGAGAAATACACATTTATAGAGTGATAATGACCACATCCCCCAAATATTTAATAACAGTAATTTTTTCTGATCACAGAAGTAGGTTGTGCTTTAATACATTGCTAATGGTAATGTGAAACAGGATAGCCACTTTGAAAAACAATTTAGCAGTTTCTTGTAAAGTTGATTATACACTTTCAATATGACCTAACAATCATACTCCTAGATATTTACCAAGGAAAAATGAAAATATATGCCTACACAAATACTTGTATAAAAATGTTTATAGTGGCTTTATTGATGATATCCAGAGAAGTAGAAATAACTCATATCCACTAACTAGTGAATAGAAAAATATACTGAGGTAAATTCATGCAATGGAATATTCAAGAAAAAGGAATGGACTTCTGATACTTGCAACAACATGGATGAATCTCAGAAACATTCTACTAGGTGAAAGAAGTTAAACATGAAAGGCTATATACTATATGAGTTCTAACTGTATGACATTCTGGAAAATGAAAAACTATAAGGTCAGAAATCAATTAGTGGTTGCCAGAGCTGAGGATATGAGGATAGGTTTGGTCATAAAAGGGCATGAGGGAACTTTTGGGGAAATGGAAATGTTCTATAAGACAATTGTGGAAGTGGTTACGTGACTATGTCAACACTCATCAAATTGGGCACCTAAAGCAGGTGAATTTTATTTTATGTAACTATGCCAATCACCCTTACTAAAAACATGAAAGAAGACATGGTCAATATAGAAATTGTAAAAATACAGAAAGGCGTAAAGAATATGAAATTTCATCTTTAATCTCACCAGCTGGGTATTAACTACAAGTTTAACATTTTATTGCATTTTTCTTGATTTTTCCATGCATATAATATGAACTTTTGTGACTGCTTTTTTTTTAATTATAAGATTTTTTTGATGTCATTAGTAATTCTTTTTTGGCATCATTTTTAATAGCAACCTAGTCATTCCTTACTATTTGACTCTTGTTTTTGAATATTTACTCTTAAACAATATTGATGAACTCTTTTTTTTATCTTTTCTCTTCCTTCATTTTAAAGGCATTTCTAATGTCAAGAATCTCCTTTTATACCAATGAAGAAGTATCTAGACATTGTACTTGTTACCTGATCCCAGAACTCATCTTTATGGTGAAAATATTCAGATTTTTTTGACATTAAATTTAATGTATTCTTACTCAGTATGGTTATCTTTTCCACTGTATTTTATTCATGTTCATTTTTTACATCAAAATTTTGTCTGGATAATATGAAAACTTTGAGTGCATCAACTATTATATATATTTCTATGTGGTCTTTATAACATTTACTTATGGGCTATTAATATTTTGTTGAATATTATTTCTTTTTTCTTAGGCAAAAAACCAGTAAAACTCTTAAAACCAATAACTGTCTGGATTTTTTTGGTCACTTGTCATTTCTGTATGTGTTTGAATGAATTCTTTCTTCAGCCACAGCGTAAAATACTTCAAGGCCAAACATTCAAATGTTTACCTTGGTTCCAGTTCCAAATTCTCTTTTTTTAATAACATCTGCTACCAATCAATCCCCAAATACAACATGTATGCATCCACCCACCCTTCTGCTTTCTGTATTCAGAAACCCATATATCTTCATTCCAAATTTGTTCATGTGTCATTTTGAATAATGATACAGGTGACGATTCTTCCTTATGTAAGACCTTCACTGTCAGCAAGACTGGCACTGACTTACTTGTGATGTTGATGATTTGCATATCACTGTTCACTTTCACTTGTGTATAACCCAGTCTGCCAAGTGAGACACTTTGAAAGAGCTGAAAAGCAGGCTGTGGTCCTAGGCAAAGGTTATTCCAGATGTCCCCTGTGGCTCCTAGGCAGCTATTTGGCACACATCTTGCTAGTGCACTTTCATAGAGGGCATCTGTCATGTCCACAGTATCTAGTTCCTGAGGTCACTGCTGTTAACCCTGTAATAGGAGCTTGGGTGTGTGCATTTCAAGAGAGGGAAATTACATAGGAAAGACAGCAAGAGAGCAGCTAAACACCTATCACTAGAATGATAGAAGAGAAATTAGAGGTTAGAGCAAAGGTGGGGCAAAGGGTTTTAGGGGGGCCTTGAGAAGAAACAGTGAACAGGTGAAAACAAGAGCCATCGACATCTTGGCCAGTTATTAAATGAATTCACATTACATCCAAAGCCCAGATGATGATCTAAGGGTATCATGAGAGCCAAATAAAAGTTCACCAAACACTTCAGCTAGCTGCTGTGTCTGACAAAAAATATATAATTGATTTGGGCCATTTGGGTGATGCTTTCCAATGCAAGAATTTTTTTTATATTTTGATTTTTAGTAACTCCATGTTTTTTCTGATTCTGAAAATTTAGAAAACATGGAATGAAGGAAACTTAAATCAGTCATAATTTTACCATTCAAAGATGCTATAATAATATTTTGGAATTTTTTTTTTTTTTACAAATTCCAAATCATTAAGTATGTCTGTAATTTTGAATCCTGCTCTTTTCATATAACATTATATAGTGAGATATTCTCTGTGTTACTGATTTTATCAAAAACACAATTTCAGTAGCAGCATAGTATTTCTTTCTGTGAATATGCCAGCACTTATTAAATAATTCCCCTAGTAATGGGCATTTAAATTGTTACTTGTTTTCAGTAATATAAATAACACTGTTATATGTATGCACATAGTATACATATTTATGTACATCTCTATTACCTTAATCAATTCTGGAATAAAAAGGTAGGACTATTTCTGCATATTGCCATGTTATCCTACAGAAAGATGGTCTCCTGTTATATTCCCACTACTAGTGAATAAGAGTGCCTATTCATTTCACCATACCTCAGCCAATAGCCTATGTTACTGTTTTTTAGGGAGGCCAACAGTATGTTTTTTTTGTTTTGCAAAAGAGAATTATTTTAATAAGACAGAAACTAAAAATTAAAGCTAAGATTTTAGCTTTAAAATTTGTGAGAGAAAGTCTAGATATCTTAAGCCTTTAAATAAACTGTGTTAGCCACAATGTTCTTTTTTAATCACTTGGTATTGCATATAAATTGTTAGTTTGAATAGCTTCTGAGCTGTTAAACCTTCATTTCAGAAAAGGGGATTAACATAAATTATTGAAAAATCATTCCTTAATTTTAAAATTGGGCTTCTGTTTGTCATATTTTAAACTTCTAACAATATTTTCCACTTTTCCAAGAAGTGTGTGTGTAGTTTTGTGGCAAATTTATAAAAAAATTAATAGCTCTCTACAATAAGCTTACACTTCATTGATTAATGTCTTCTTTTTCCTTTCTGATACTTCAGTGCATCATCTTATCTTCAGTAAGGACAATATTCTCTAATGAATGACTAATCATTTCAAGTCAGTTTACTCAGGTCAATAAAAAGTTAAAAGCCATGGTTGAAACTATATTAAACTGTGCATTGCCATCTTTATTATCTGAATTTCGTAGTTTAAAATGCTTGCAGGAAAGTACTTTCATAAGTCAGATAAATGCCAAAGTGATGGAGCTGGAGCTAGCAGAGACCTTAGAAATAAGCAAATCCATCCTTTCATTTGATAGGTGAGGAAATGGAAACTGAGATTGGTGCAAGCACATCTTGTGGTCACCCAGCTGGACAGTGACCCTTACTTAACCCAAAGTTCTTGACTATACAGCCATCTCCGTCTTAGGCTGCACAGCTGGTCATCTGAGAACTGAAGCATTTAGAACCATGTCCTCAATTCATATCCTTTGTCTCTCCTAAGAAGTGTGTGTAAGAATAAAATTCCAACTGGTTCTTTGATTATCCTTTCTAACTCCTACTTCGCTCAATTTATGGTAAAGACTGACAAATTGATAAGCCACATAAATCAATTCCCTTTCAAGAACCTAGAATAAGCTCAATCATTTTGTAACACAGAAACTGCATGTTGTCTCAGATTCCAAATGAACTAAACTTTGCCTTTAGCAGGCTGGGTCTCAAGAATGAATACCTATAGAAGAAATGTGATTACTCAGAACCACAAGATTATTCTTGTAAAATGTTCTTTTGCTTGTTTGTTTTTCTCACCAGGTATCTGTATGCCCTTGGACAGAAGGTTTGGAAAAGGTGGAAAAAACGTTACTTCGTTCTTGTTCAGGTTAGTCATTTTCTTCCTATTTACATAATCACTCTAAGACAGTGACTCTCAGACTTTTTTAAATGTGGGCTTTATCTGTAAATATTTACTATTTTTAGAAATTAAAACTGAGAAATTTTCTTAAATACTTAATTTATTTTAAAGGAAAATTAAATCCATTGCATGTTATCACAAATAACATTTTTATGTAAAATAACTATTTTCTGAGCAAAACAATTCAGGGAAATGTGGCATTGTTTTATGCTTTTGCATACCTCTTTATTGTCTGGATTAATAGAAAGAATATAACTCTATTCTTGTGTCAGCTTCTGCATTAATTTGCTGCAATATCAAATAAAATGTAGCCTCTGGAAAACTCCACTGTACACTCATGAGAGAATAAGTGTGAAAAGACAAATAACTTCTGAATATTGTTATAAAAATAGTTTTAATCTTACCTTCTGAAAGAATCTTGAGGATGTCTGGGATTCCAGTACTGTCCCTTGAGAACTGCTGCATCATTCTGATAATTTATAGATAAACCATAGTACATATAATCACTCATTTTAATATAAATGTATCATATCTGTACTTATTGGTATATTTAATGCAAATATGCTGGCATTTAATACAAATAAGCCATACTTAATAAAATTTGCCATACATTTTGGCATATTTAAAACAAGTAAGCCAACAAATCATTTAGTAACATAAATGTGTTTTTACATCAACTTGACTGGTATATTTGTTTATAATTTGATTCTGAACCTAAACAGATTTGGCTGACTTTTTTGGTAAATCATCTATAACCTTTGCTCATAGAATATACTCATTACGTTAAATTCATATTAAAGAATAACTTTCTAAGTAAGAGTCGTTCCATTCCATGATGAATCCAAGCTATTTTATTCCCAATGGAAATACATAAAAAGAGAATCACCCTTGGAATTCTTAACATAAAACAGTCTGTAAAATCTCATTGATTTCTGTCACATATTAAGCAAGCTTAACTGGGCTAGATCAGAACTACATGATGAAATGCCAAGGAAGGAGAATTATCATTTGCTGTCTTCCAGAAATACGTACAGCCATCCATCAATTACCAGATAAAATTACTTTATTGATGTCCCATGATGACATGGTAACTTCATGAAGAGTGTGAAAATTCAGTCAAAAGTAGTTTTATCTACATGGCAAACAGCCAGCCTATTTTTTATCCCGCCTAGAATGTAAACTTATGTTGTTCAAACAAATATTTGGTCTAATTTGATAAAAGATACACACTCCCTCTCAATTTTTTGATATGGATCCCAAGCATTTGCTTTGAGGTTGGTGAAGGTCACCTGTTTAGAGTTCTGTGTGATCTATCCTCTAAAATAAATACCCTTATGGCATCTTCTATAGTTTCTAGGCTTAGTTTCTTTAGTTTGGTGCAAGTATTTAAATGCATTTACTAAGTAATTTGAATGTAGATATTTCTGGACATTTACATTTTATTCGTATCTTATAAATGTCTCATTCACATCTAATTTCACAAATTTGTGTTAGTGATTTGTCTTTATCAAGTCTTTCTAAAGCATTCAACTGATTTTCATAGAAACATCAGCTTCCTTTACAGTTATATCTTATGCATTTATATAGAATCTCATTAGTTCCATAACTTCAGTAGCTGATATTATCGGCATAAACTAGTTTGGGAACAAACCCAGCTGACTATTAGAGTTTACCTAGTGGAAATACATATGAAAGAGCATGGGAATGTAACCACAAATATTCAACATGTCATTCACATTAGTCACTATGTTTTAAAGAATATTGTTAGTCTGGAGACCTGATTAAATGGTAGTAGGCTAAAATAATTTTTAATATATTGATTTTAATATGAAAATTAGGCTTTTGTAGATCAGTTTTGAGAAGTCAAATGATCACCTTATGCTTTTGGCCAGGTAAGGTTCAAGGTAATCCTTTGCTCTTTGTCTTATTTTCTAGCATATAATCATAAGAATCAAAAGTTAGGGGACAAACGTGTATACTTTGATTATCACCCATAAGAGAGTTCAGAAATGAAAGAAGGAACCAAAATACTTTGATATTGTTTATTGGTATGTCTTTAGGGCAGATTAATGATGTCGTTGAGGAACTAAAAGTTCTCTCAATAACAAAAATATGTTTTACATTTTAAAAGGCAAAATCTAACTTAAATCAAAGTAGGCAAACTTATATGCTCCACAATTGAAATTTAGGAAAACAGTACCAAACTGTAATGAATTTGGATTTATTCTACCTAAGGTATCATCTTAAAATTTGAAGACATGTTTAAGCATTATATATTTATATACATATATGTACATATATACATATGCACCCACACAAAGCATCCCATGCCCAAATGTATTGAGATACACATGGCAGTACTCTGACAATTTTTTGAAATTTTTAAACACAATTGAATCTTCCACTCAATTCCAACTGTAATGGGGAGACAAATTGAAGGCACATACTTCAAAATCAAAATGGATGTGTATGGAGATTCAATGAGACTGACCTATTGGGAAGAACTGGGTATTTTTTATTAGTATTTTTAAAGACAGCTCTTATTCTATCTGCACACAGCTTGTAGGTCCATACCTGCGGGCTACATTATTGAAAGGTGAAGGAATCGTTTTCATAGGGAGGCCAGTAGACCCCTGCTGTGTGTCTGCTGCTGCTATCAGCGGAATGATGCTCCGGTGATAATGTGAATCTCATCACCACTTTTGAGTGTGTATTATATGAGTGATATAGCTGGAGATCCAGCCATCAGCTCAAGAATTTGTACTCATAAAAATTGATTGAGAGTCAGGTTTGGCCAGCTGCAAAGTCGTTCAAAGTGAACACTTGTGGAGCCACTGGGATGAAAAGACTTTTCAAAGACTTTCATATAAGCATTTCAATCATCGCTGAAAAATGGGAAAACAAATTATTTGTTAATATTGAGTGTTTATTTAGCTTCTAAGTATTTGTTGATATTGAATGTTTGTTTAGCTCCTATGTAAGATGTGCTTTGTCGTTTTTAGATTCTGATGGTGATATGGTTATACATAGCAATAAATTGATTTTAAGGCTTTCTAAGAGGTTGTATTTTTTAATTAAGGTAAATTTTGCCTCAAGCCAAATTGAAAAAACAGTGATTTTGAAGACTATGCTTGAAATCATACCAAAATTAAACATACATAAATATATATATTTCTTATTTATTTTTCTTGTGCTTGTTCCATGTTTTAGTATTACTTTTGGAGGATATCATTAGTAAAAGTACTTATGATTCTTTATTATAATTCATTACATTAATAATCTCATTTAATAGCTTTAAAACTGCAATTTAACCAAACTGAGTTACACCTTCATTCCATATTCTGCCGATGTCATCTTAAATAACTGTATGTCCCAGGTGTTGCATATTCTGTGGTAAATCCAAAAATTCCTGAAGTACTCACCTATTAACATGATTATTGCTATACCCAATATTTATTAAACATTTACTTTGTGGCAAACATTTATGGAAAGCACTTTCAATACTTTATGTTGTTTACTCCTCAGAATAAGTCTATGAGGGTAGGTATTGTTATTATCCCCATATATCTGTATTCTTATTACAGATCAGAAAATTGGTGTGCAGGGGGGTTGTGGAATTTACCCAGGATTATGCAGTTTAGTGTGTGGTAGAGTCGAGCAAATCCATTTTGGTCAAAGTGTAGAGACTAAGCTCTTATTTCCTCTGCCATGCTGTTATGATTAAATTGATGCACATAGTTGCTCTGAAGACAAAGAGATATATGAATCATCACTCTGGATCATTAATTTCATGAGGTGCAAAACAGTGTTACCATGGCCAGGGAGTGATGCTATAAGGAGTCTGTGCTCATGAAGACCAACCACTTCCTGTGTGGCATCCCTGGAAACTAAAGTAGACATCTATGTTGTTTTGGCCCTGTATCAAAGTGTTCGCTACTTGTTGTCGATGTGTCAGAATCATGACTTGAAGTTGTTGCAAACAACAGCAGGCTATCAAGACATAATGTTAATTACATATCAGCTGAGTTGGCACAGGATATAAACAGTCAGCCACGCCACTGAGTGATCCGTACATGCTGTAAACATGTGAGAAGCACTCTGTTAGTGAGATGCCATCAGGATCTGCTTTAAATGTAAAGTGGCTTCCCCAGCCTATTGACTTCTGAGGTTTTTCAGCACACTTGGGAATCCCCTGCCGCAGTCTCCTCTGACATATTTGAGAATGCCACTTCTGCGTGAAGAAGGTGAAGTTCGGTTATGCGGTATAGGTTTAGTCTAGGACATCAGCGGATGTTTGCATGTGGCAATAAGGCAATGTGAAGTAAACAAATACACTGCCACTAGATCGAGAAAGTCATGAGATGGTAGCTTTATAGCTTTACGTTATAAAGTGGTTTAAAATTTACCAACCCAGGACATGTTCAAGGTAGGATAAAAATCAAACCATGCAGTTTTTACTGTAGAAAATAAAAGGCCCTCATCAGTATTCCTACCAGCACTGCCACCTTGTTCTACTCTCCTTCTCAAAAGTAGCCAAGCAGCCATTGCTGAGTAATAGTGTAAACTTCTACACTTGTATCATTATGTGATACACACATATCCATGCATCCCTAATGGAGTCATTCCATATATTTTTGTTCTGTGAATTGCTTTGTTCCCTGTTAAAAATACATATCACACAGAAGTTGCCATATTAACATATAAAAATCTACTTGATTATTTTGAGGAAATGATTGGATTCCATAATACAGATTAACATAATTTATGTATAAATTCCCTTTTGATGTTGTTTTTGTCATCAACAACCAATGCCTCCATCAATATATGTATAATTATTGTATATTAATATTCACATATATATGTGGGAGTATTCCTAGGCACAGATACTTGTAATATTAGAAAGATTATAAAGCCTTAGATGACCCATGTGTATTTAAATATTCACCAAAACTTTGGCTTTCTTTTTT